TTTAGGGACAGGGTCTCACTGGGTTGTTCAAGGCCTTGCTTTTGTTGAGGCTGGCTTTGAACTCACGATCCTCCAGCCTCAGCCTCCTGAGCCTCTGGGATTACAGGTGTGAGTCACTGCGCTCGGCCCATATTGTTGAAATTCAAAAAATGAGGTAAAAATAACAGTGCCCTACTCTCTGTTTCTTCTATGTTTATCAGAATCTCTATTCTATCAGAGTATCTATGTTTATTCTATATTTATTTAACCAGTTACAAAAAGTCCAGCTGTTGTGCAGCAATATCAAATATATCATTTGTCGAAAACATTAGTCAAAATGACATTTTTTTCCGTTGCTAAGTCAGAGATGAATAATTACTTAGTGATCAAATATCATTCTTGGGGACAACAAGGTACAAAAAAGTAATGTTTAAGTGACCGGAAAGTGTTGATCCGGAGAACGTAATTGCTTTGCAGAGCTGTCTCGACTCCCTGGTCAAACAATATCTCACAGGCAAAGAAATTAGAAGCTAAAAAGCCGGAGACAGGGAACGGCTCAGGGGGAGACTCGGAGAGCTATTTGCTAGAGGGTCCTCATGAGACGGACAACATCCCAACTCCCCGGCTGACCTGGGGACCAAGGGTGGACACAGTGGGAGACATAAAGGAGATCTAACAAGGGTCACCCGTCGGGCAAACTGTCACCGTCACATGGCCTGCCTTAGATCTATCCGTGGTCCAGACGTGGCATCTCTGCTTGGGCACCTGGGGGCACGTTTGAAACAGGGCCAGGATAGAAACCCGCGAGTGGGAAGTCCCACCCCCATCTGGCCTTGGAGAATCTTCGGCTGCTTTCATTGAATTGTCTAACCCGACCCTGGAACACGTAGCCAGCTTCTCTTCTATGTCAAAATTCACAACCAATTCAGGGAGCGCCCCTGGTAAGGGGGTGGGGAGGACTTTTGTCTTCATTGAGTCCAAGTCAAAGGAGGCAAACGAGAATGATACAAGTGGAAAACCAGGATATCTATGTCCGAGCCACAAGGCATTTTGCTTAATTGGATTGGGTGTCTTAGGTATCAGTATTTTTTTTTTCGTAGTACTGGAGCTTGAACCCAGGACTCTGTGCATGCTCGGTGACTCCTCTTTGTGCATGCTAGGCGAGTGTTCTTTGTGCATGGTAGGCGAGTGCTCTTTGTGCATGGTAGGCAAGTGCTCTTTGTGCATGCT